TGATATCAAATTTTCTGGTGAGTATAATAAAATAGAATACTAATATAAGCAAATAACAATATATATAATAGACAAATGCATTGATATAAACTAATGTAACATAATATATAATAAACTAAGAAAATGTTTTGTTTTTAAGTGGTTCTTATATTTTAAGGTTTTCTTTTGGTTTTCTTCTTTCAGTCAGGACTTGGTTATTTGCAAGGATAGATTTTTCTAATCCTTTTCAGAAAACGTATCATTCTTTAAAAATTATAATTAAAGTCTAATAAAGTAGACCTCAGCAAAAAAGTATTTGGTTTCTGTGAAATTCAAGTCCTAGATTTTAAAACTAGATAAATTAGGTTTCAAGTGGTAAAGTTTAAGGTGATAAACTCTTTTTGCCCTGAATATTTTCTAAATGTATAGGTGCTGACATTTTAATTAGAGTTTTAGGGGTATGAAAGTAAAAATATTTGTTAGGAAGGACTGTGTTTTCTGTGTAAATTCTGATGCCCCAGGACTACTAAAGTGTTTCAGTATTTTTATTGGGTTTGCACTGGATCATATTCTCTGTGGCCTAACTCTTCTTCTCATTTCCAGTAACTTGACTAGGAATATTGGTCGCCAGTTACTGTCTCAGGATAAGGAGCAGTTTTTCTCTGGGTAAAGCCATCTGGCTTTGCTGGGATTCAAACCATGCCCCCTTTCTCTGTCACACCATCCTCTGATCATCTTTTGGGGGATTCTGCCTTTCGTAGGTCTTTCCTGAAGGAAGTTAGGCCAGCCAACAGCTAGACAGCAGAGGTGGTTTAGAGGAGCTCTGTGTTACTAGTATCATAGATCATAGTGGTGATAAGAGGTTGGTAAGAGGAAACTAAATTCCAAGGTGGGTGAGGAAAACATTTTGGCATATGTTTGCTTTAATGAATTCATGTCTCAAAGTCTAGACAAACAAGATTTAAAAGTACGTGGGACTGGTACTAACAAAAAGTTATTATATATGGGGGAAAAAAAGTACTGTGGGCCCCTGAAATGCAGAATTTGATTTTAAAAGTCATTATGTAATGCCTGAGATTAGCCTGAGGGTAGATTCCAGTTAAGACAGTGTTATTAACATGTCCAAAGAAAGAATAGGGTAGTGCAAGGGATTTCAGAGCAAAATCCTGACTTTAGTCAGGCAGAAGCTGGCAGTTTGCCATGACATTGCTGGGGCGGAGGTCATCTTGAACCCTGATTGTGGCTCACCAGGCAACCTTCTCATCACTTTTGGGCTTTCAGGGAGGCATGTGGGAGGCAGACAATCAGATGATCATTACCCAGTTTACGTCTCTGTTCATTATTAAGTGTATAACTGAGCATTCTCGTTTATACATCTACATCTATTCCGTGGGGAAAGCTGAGACTGAGTATCTGCTCTCACAGAACCAGATTTTAGTGCCTGCAAAGCTAAGTCCCTTGAATGTCGATGCTGTCAGACATCTGCCTTTCCCTTAGGTGACCTCTGTCTTGCTCCTTCATTCAAGCTGCAGTCATGTGGAGCATGTGTTGAAAATCTCTCAGTGTAATTCACCATATTAATAAAAGAAACACACCATATGATCTTAATATTATACAAAAAAAAATTTGAAAAAATTCAATACACATTCACGATAGAAACTCAGAAAACCAGCAACAGAAGGAAACTTCCTCAACTTGGTAAAAAGCACCTGTGAAAAATCTATGGCTAACATCATACTGTCCGTTCTCCCCAGACCGAGCTGTAAATTCAGTTTCTTCTCAGTCAAGGTCCAAGTAGGCTTCTTGTTTGTTTGGGTTTGGTTGCTGGGTATTGTTAAGTTTTACATCCTTGCATGCTAGATGATGTTATAGTCCTTTAACATCTTTGTTCTGGCACACGTTTAGTTTCTTGTGGGTCAGTTTGAGCCTTTCTAATTTTGTTTTTAAGCTCTTTTAGGATGGATCTGGAGTAGTGTTTGCTCTGAGGCTAACATAATGGTACTTCTGGTGTGAGGTCTCTGCTTATTGAGACCTTTCCATTCTGGTGGTAGGAAACCCACACAGTTCCCAGCTCTGTGTGAGCTCTGAGAATTGTTTGCTTTGTCCCTATGCATGGAGAGGCTGCCCTTCAGCCAGAGACTCAAGGAGATCCACTATGCAGATTTCTCTTCCTTTTTTCTCTTTCTGTAGCTTCCATTTCTGGGTACTCTGCCCCAGAAATTCTATGAGCCTCAGCCTCTTGAATTTCATTCTCGGGGCTCAGTTTGGGTTCCCTCTTTGTGATAGTAGCCTTTATGATGACTCACAATTATCCTTGTCTCCTGGCATTCATGACCTTGTATATATTTTCTTACCACTTTATATCATAGTTGGTCGAAGGGACCAATTGCAGAAATAATGGCGTACCACTTCTGAGGCTAGGTTATAAAAGATACTGTGGCCTCTTTGCTCTCTTTCCGGTCACGTTCTCTGAGGGAAGCCAGCTGCCATGATGTGTGGATATTCCCAGCACAGCTTTCTCTAAGTCCAGGCTTAACCCCTTTCAGTCTGTCTAATCATGTCACCTTCTTAACCTGGATCATTTGAGTATCATTTCATAATATTCAAAATAAAGGCCAAACACCTCAGCAGAGCATAAAACCTCTTATAAATGTTCCCAAACACTTTTCTCAAGGTTCACCTTTTCCCCCATCCCCCCATCTGAGTTCTACCCATAGCAGACTATTCTCAGGTGTCCTGCTCATGTCGAGCTCTCCCTAGCAGTGGGCATTTGCATATACTGTCCACTTTCTTCACCTGGCTAACTCTTGCTCTTCCAGCAAGCCTGGTCGGAAACTGTTCTTCCTGCTCTCCTAGGCTGTTAGATGACCTGCCCAGTGCTCCCTTGACACCCTGTTCTCAGCCCCTTAGGTTATTAAAAGTGTTGGTTTGTTAACCCTCCTTTCCCAGTACCTCTTAAAACACTATAGGGATTGTTCTTGTTGACTACCATGTCTCTTGTTGGCACACAGCAAGGGGTTCATTCAGTATGTTGAATGAATGAGTGAGTGAGAAGAACATTTTAGGTGAAGCAAGCAGTGACTTAGCATATCAGGCTGCTCAGTCGATTTTATTTATTTATTTTTGAGACACAGTCTTACTCTGCCACCCTGGGTAAAGTACCTTGGCATCATAGCTCACAGCAACCTTAAACTCTTGAGCTCAGGCGATTCTCTTGCCTCAGCCTCCTGAGTAGTGGGACTACAAGTGCCTGCCACAGTACCCGGCTGTTGCTCAGGCTGGTCTCAAACTCCTGAGCTCAAGCAATCCACTCACCTTGCCCTCCCCATGCTAGAATTATAGGCGTGAGCTACCACTTGCAGCTATTCAGTTGATTTTTAGCATTGGACTTACAGATGAATAGTAGTATTGCAACTTTTAGTTAACTATAATAATTTAATGAATTTGCCCTGTCTCATTTTGCAGTGACTTTTTGGAGAAATTAGGTAATGTTTTACTCACTGTTACATTAAAGTAGCCTATTTTAATTGCGTTCTCAAAACCTTAAGGTTATACTAGAGCCGTGGTTCTCAACCTGTGGGTCATGACCCATAGGAACTGTATTAAAGGGCCATGGCATTAGGAAGGTTGAGAACTACTGCACTAGACTATATAGTATATATAATAACATAGTGTATATTATTAAAGTAAAATGAAACTTTCTTTTTCTAAACAGTTAAGTCATTCAATTGTTCTGGGCCTGTGAAGTTTACCATACTGTGGCATTTGAAATATCATACCTGTCACAATGAATACCCTGAACTGGAAGTAAGTAAAACATAAATCTTTAGTGTATGTAGAAAAATTATGAGTATAAATATTTCTTAGCTCATCAGGTAAGGGGGTTAGGAATTGAGATTATAGATTTAGGAGTGCCATAGATTAATTTTGGGACTTAAAGCAATAAATCACTGTGTATTCTGAGAATACTACTAGTCTTTTAGTTTTCTTGTGACTATCTTATGAAAAATGTTAGTAAATGTGGGCAGTGCCT